GACGCACGCACGCACGCCACGCACGCACGCACGCACGCACGCACGCACGAACGCACGCACGCACGCACGCACGCACGCACGCACACGCACGCACATCACACCACACACACACACCACACACCACACACACACACACACACACACACAACCACTGCACACAGCACACACACACACACACACACACACACACACACACGACACACAACACACACACACACATACACACACACACACACACACACACATACATACATACATACATACATACATACATACATACATACATACATACATATATATATATAGAGAGAGAGAGAGAGACAGCGAGAATTATATGTATAATCGGCTACGATGACAATGAATACAATGTAATGATGACAAGTACTATATCCACCAATCCGCTACCTGTTAGTTTGCAGACGCGGGCGTTATTTGCACGTTAGCTCACACTAATTACCAGATTTACTTAGAAAACAGGTGCATTTCGCGCGCGGACGCCTGAGTGCGTCTTTCGCCAGTGGGTGGGGGCAGCGGGGGTCAGCATTCTAAGAAAGAAAACCGCCAGCGCACAAATCGGAATCGCAGGGAAAATATTATCCGACGCTTCCTAATTAGTTAGTGTTTATTGTCACTGCGAAATCCGAAGCACTCACTCACAATGTGCGCTCTCACGCTGGCGGCTCGCTCTGGTTTGCATGCAAAACATCAATTAGCAGCTATTAGGCAGGTGCTTGTCGACCTGTGTGTATGTACACCACGCAGCGCTGTGTGTTTTCCTAGAGAGACGCGGGCAGCGCCACCGTGGCGATACCGCGAGTGTTTGCACGCGCTGTGCGATGCCGATTGCAATTAAACTGAATCGCAAGTTAATCGACGCGATATCGTCCAAGAGGCACAGGAATCGCTAGCTCTACTCGACGTGTGACACGTAATTCCACACCTACGCACACGCGCCCGTCGTAGTACGAACGAGAGAGAAAGAGAGCTAAAGTAAACCGGGAGAGAGAGGGAGCGCGTGCCAACGTGCGTGCGTGAGAGAGAGAGAGAGCGAGAGAGAGAGAGAGAGAGAGGAGAGAGAGAGAGAGAGAGAAAAGAGAGAGAGAGAGAGAGAGAGAGTATGTGTGTGTGCGTAAAAGAAATTACAAGCCTGAACCTCAAGTAGTAGTTCAATGAGTAGAAGTATCCATTAATCTTACATTAAAATACTGCCGGGGTCTCAGTTTTGAGCGCATTTGAGAAAAACTACATAAATCTGTATTTTTCAACCAACTTTCACTTGATACTTGTGTATGGCTAGAATTGCGGCTGCAGACGCAGCACACAAGTTTATCGAGGCGTGCGCATATTCACGCACGTAATATTTATGCAAGTAATGTTGCTTCCATCGCCCGTTAGGCAGCAATTAAAACTACCGTTTGGAGCCGGAGATGTTATCGGCGTTGATGATTTATGTATACCCTACATTACCGTATCCCCCGACACACTGCACACCGCATACCGATAACACGTGTAATCAGCCTCAGGTAGCACTCCCCGTAGCAATGTTTATACTGCGGGCGGGGCAAATACGCGATTCTCATCTACTAGTCAGCAGCTTAAATTTACTACGTAATGACTATGTAACCTATGTAAACGCTACGTTTTCCTACGTTGCCTACGTTTTCCTACGTTTTCCTACGATTCCCTACATTTCCCTACGTTTTCCTAGGTTTTCTACGTTTTCCTACATTTCCCTATGTTTCCTACGTTTTCTTACGTTTCCTACGTTTTCCTACGTTTCCCTACGTTTTCCTACATTTTCCTACGGGTTCCTACGCGTTTTCCTACGTTTCGTAACCGCGCCCTACGTTTCCGCGTAGGACCCGCATCTATAAGAAAGGCGGTCTATAGTGTGCGATACGCAGACGAACATGCGCACGTGTCATCGGAAGCAGCAGCAACGTGACATACGCGCGGTAATTGAATCTCAGCGCGTCGCCGTATCATGCCAAGCCCGCCATCCTTTATCGTTGCCTCGTCGTAAAGATTCGCCGTCACGATGACGTCTGCTACGACGCCGCCTGACGCGTTTATTGTCGGACATCTTAAGTAGCCGCCGACAGAGCGGGTGGCGGAGCGCGGCGGCACCTCTCGCTCCCGCTGCTAGCCCTTTACTGCCACCTACTGTCGCAACGTCACCCCGTGTGATCGTCAGTTTTTCAACTTGGTTTCAGTCCGCGCACTTACTGCCACTTCAAATGAGATGCGGTGGCCATGGCGAGCGGAGTGAGTGAGTGTGTATCACCACCGCGTGTCCGCACGCACGCAGACATGACGCGTGGACGGAGAGAGAGCGCGGGGAGGAGCGGGGCGGGAGGAGACAGGGTAGTGCGCTCGGGGGAGGGTGTCAGTGCGGAGGGACGCAGCGGGAGGCGGAGACGCAAATATGGAGATGAGCGATCGCAGCGTCTGGTATCGTCGCGGCCCCTAATGACAGCCGACAGCGAAAGGCATCGCCGAATAATTTCGCACACATTAGTCTGTTGCCGCCAGCGTTTTAACACCGAGCGGCTCGCACGACATCCGGACCGGCGGCCGTCTGCCGGCGTTATTAGGTTGTTTTCAGCAGGTTGGGCGCCCGCAGGCAGAATTTTGTAATGTTCGATAAAATCTCTAGGCGTTTTGTGAGGTCTCTGCGCCGGCAATAAATATTTTAGATGAAGATAAATGTAAATCAGATCCAATAAATGAACCGGCTACGGGACACTGCGCGCACATGCTGCCGTTACAATAGCATTGCTTTTAGGCATAAAAAGAAGAAAAGTCGTGAACATTATGCAAAGGGGTTCTGCTCTATATAATAGTTCTACAATACGGTGTCTATATAATGCCTATATCAGCGGTAAAGACCAAACGAGCTAACTAGCAAGTGTCAAACGTGTTGCTAATTTCGAAAACTTTTTCGAAACGCCTTGCTCGCAGGTTTAGCAGACCGACCAACTATTTTCACGATATGCGGCGCATCACGAAACTAGAACGACGATAACATAAACCTATCACCATCGCGTCTGGCTCTGACAGCCCACCAAAGCACTCTACACCTCATCCCCAAAGCTTCGACGACGCAAAACTGCAAAGACGAGTAAACCTGGCTATATTTTTATCGGGGTGTGTGTGGGGGGGGGGAAGTAGGGGAGGGGGACTACGCGGCTGTGGCCCTTGGGTCACAACGAAATCGGAGGCTCTTCACAAACTGCTGCTCGCGGCACGAAGCGCGTGCGGTCTGATAAAGGCGGCAATAGCGGGGCTGCATAACAACGCCGACATGAGTACGTGTAGGTCACTGCGGCATGGTGGAGTACGCACAACAAGCCAACCGTCTCCCCGCACACAACAGCCACCGACGTCGCATACAACATGCATGCGACGCAGCGCGGTGCAGCTATCGACATTCGCGCTCTAAATGCAAATATCGTTCCAAAACATATATGTGATACTAAAAGGTAAATTCTGCATTTGCCCTAGTTCACCTATAGCACTCTAGCACTATAGTCGATATGGTTGCGCATTACCAATAATGAAAAGCCGTCAGTTACAAAAACCCTGTCGACACCCGCCAACGTTATTCATCCTGACTACCGGCGCATTTTCTGTTTTTTTCGCATTCTCACTGGAGTGTGAAGTATTTATAAACATTAAACAACGTTGTTCATCCGAGGCCACATACGAATAACAATATTAATTGTATGACGGCAGCAAAAAACGACCGCAGACCAAAAGTTAACGCAGACAAGTAAATGTTGAAATCTACACCGCGCACACCATGAAATTCATCAAATAATTTCTGAGATAAAAATAATTTCTTGATTCACACGCGAATCGCACAGGGCTAGCAGGCATTCGTCATGATACGCTGAAAGTAACTCATTCCATATTAATTCCGTCAGAGGGCGTTGTGTGGATTCTATTTGGCGCACCTCACTCGCGGCCCGGACGCACAATGACTGCAGCCCAGCCACGTTCTGCGCATTTTCCGAAATTGGGCAGACGAACGTGTTTTCCTACCGTGGTGCCTGTAATTTTTTGCATAATACCGCCATTTGTGTGCCTCGCCCCGTGCAACCCCGCTCGCGAATTCCAGCCGTAACACTAGGCTAATCCGTTTTCAAACGCGCCTAGAGTGTTGTTTTCCTTTCACGCTCTAGCCTACTCTTGTTTTTTTCGCCTGCATCGTTGAACTAAGCATATAGCGTTGATTTGGGCCTGCGAGCACTTCATTATGAACGATTACCGCAGCCTGTATTAAACAGGGCATGTCCGGTCACAAACTGGAGACACTGTGTATCTAACTACATGTTTAAGGCAGGTGGTCGGGTTTAAAGTAGCCTTCTGAATTCTAATATATAAGCTCATATAAATCTAATGAAATGGCTGCATGGAAACTAAATTGTACCATTGTGCCGCCTGAATGCAGTTCGTCATTATGCTAAGTGGCTTCGACAATGGCTCGGCAGTGATTCTGAAAGTTGAACATCACTCGACGTCGTGACGTTCATTTTTGACAGTGTGAGAAGTAGCGTTTAACGTTGCTGATATAATAATGCCCGGCAGCATACAGTAGGGTCCCTTCTAAACAGCAGTAAATTTATATAAAATTTAAAGAGGCGGGAATGCTCTGGATTAACGCTGGCTAACGGGAGAGAAGTGGGACGACCGATGGTAAGCAGTGCATGCACAGCGCGAAATGTACGTGTGTGTATACGACTGTGATACCGTACACACGCCGCGACAGCAGACACAGCGTCATACGGATGTGTACGACATACGGCGAGTGAATGCCGCATTTGTCGGTAACATCAAGAGCTGTACAGCCATCGGCCGATGAATCACGCGAAAGTATTTACATAAATTCGGTCGTAGGTTGTTTGAAGGTGAAAGCGCTTCGACGCGTTAAAATCAAGCGTTACGTATAGTTGCGCCGTAAAGCCCGTAGGTACGCATGCCACACGGTAGGTACTTACCACCGCGCCTGTATTTACATGGAGTCGCATCAGCTCTCTACGCATCACGAACGGCGCGCCCGCTTACTGCCTGCCATCAGTGATGACTCGTTGTAGGGTCTCTTCACAGATCTGTAGAAGTCTAGACGGGGAGAAAAAAGCCAGATACTGAAGGTTAACATTCTATCTCTTCTAACGTACCGACTTCGTTTTCATTAATAAATTCAGCCTAATATCGTTACGCGCGCGTACGGTATTATATTGAGAGACATGTGTTCGACACATGTGTTACAGCATGTTAATTAAAACTGCTACACGGCACGGAGGATAGGCGGGCACGCAGGCATGCGCGCGGTAATCGAGATAACGGGCACGCTGGGAGTAAAAATTACAAGAATTAACGCCGCGAAATAAAAGACAAAAAATCATTCCACAAGGTTGATGTCCTGTGGCTATATAGGATTTTAGTCTCGATGTTTACGCTAACTTCCAACAGAAGTGTGCGCGTAGTACGCTCAGGATTCCTTCGCAGTAACCCCATACTAGACTGGCTCCGTAAGTCGTTAAGAATAAACCATATGGGCTTAGCCACTGGGACCTCTAAAATCAGTCTAACCCTGCACCAGACTACTCATACCCGCACACAAACGTGCATATGTCCACACGTAAGCACACACGCGCTCGCGCACACACACACACACACACACACACACACACACACACACACACACACACACACACACACACACACACACACACACACAATATATATATATGATACACACACACACACAACACACACACACACACACACACACACACACACACACACACACGACACACACACACACACACACACACACACACACACACACACACACACACACACACACACACACACACACACACACACACCGGTGAATAGGAGCAACCAAAAACCGGAGCAAGAAAAACCCGGCCCACGAGGTTGACATCCTGTTGAAATAGAAAGCTAGCGTAAAACATCCGCCTGGTTTTTGATAGATGGCCCTCAGGAGCGTGCAGTACGCGCCGAACACACGTCCACGATTATACTGTCAGTATTCTTAGCCAGTAATCTGTACCAGGCTACCTACACTCATGCGCGCGCACACGCGTACGCACGCGCGCACGTACAAATGCACGTAAACGCACAACTGATAGTAACACGTACTTGACCATCTTTTTTGATCAACGTCTTAACACTGCGTCAGAGCCGCTAGCCTTAGTGTTTACTCTGGAGTAGGCCTTTATACAAATATGCAACATAACACGAGTAGGTTAGGTGTACTCGGGGCCTCGGGCGGATTACATATTTGTATCTAGAGTAGGCCGAATGCGACGAACGACGCGCTAAAGTTATAACCTTTTATAGAAGGTAATGTTGACTTCAGGCATGCATATTTTCAGCGCTCACACCCATGCAAATACGCGAAACGACCGGACGAAAAGAAACGGACCGTTGTTTGGAGTATTGAAAAATCTCCATATGCGTCCAGGGGCAAATCGTGTATACATATGCTCAAGAATAGTAAAGGCTATTCGGAGTTCGGGTAAATAACAATGACCGTATGTCGACCGCATTATGCGTGCGTGAATTGCGTTTGTGTACAAATATACGCCACATTTGTTGACTGTTTCGTTCTTTAATCACGATTCGTCAAACGATACTACAAGACCCTGTGCCCTAATTGCCACCCGGTGCGCGCAGGATATCATATGGGCAATATAATGCTCGGGATTAGCGTTAGGTGGGGCTCTCACAACCGCTGCTGCGGCCACAACGAAAATAATCCCCCGCATCTGTTGACCATCTAGTTGGCAAGACGCGTCTTAGACGGTCGCCACGCTTGCGCGATCGCGGCTTTACCAGAGTTCGAACTGCCCGTTGGCGACCGACTATGCGTAAGGCTGACCGTGAGGCGAGCTGCGGGGAAGGTGGCGGGTGTGTCACCCCATGCGTGGTCAGCACACGTGGCTAGCGCCCATGTGCTCGTCAAAGCGCACGGAATCGCGGCTTTTTGGGTGAGCATGCAGATTAGTGAAAGTTTAAGTGGAATGCTGCCAGCTGCGATACGAATACTGTTTGCGACACGGATTCTGGAACAGCGCTTTTTGAAACAGCGCCACGCAATTTCGTGGTAGAACGCAAACAAGATTCGCCACACGGTTGCGCGCATACTACACGCATGCACGCACACACACACGTACGTAGTAAATTCGTAACACTCCCTTCCTCCATTATTGCATGAGACGCTAGTGTATGTAACGCGGGTATATTGTATTCTGTGGCAATAAAACGAGGACAGGTTCGTGTTTAGGCCATAGACTACTGCTCCCGGGTATGGTAAAATTTGTCCAATTTTTGTTGCCATTTTTTTACATTATAAGTAAGAACTAACGGGACTAAACGTATCGTCAAATTCTTACCTGATAAGATTGTTTCTCAACTAGTTAAAAATCCAAAAAACCTGGACGATTTGATATTAGTGTTCCTGACATTAATTGCTTGCTATGGGCTATGTATGAGTCAGTATGTACCATCAGTAGCGCTCACCCGTCCACAACGACGCACTTACACGGCGTATGTACGCCAGCAAGAGAAATCCCCGCCAGATACGTAGCCACGAACGATCATAAGTAAAGCTACACTTTCGCCTTGCTGATTTGTCTGTTCCGATCATGTTAGGCCCACAGGCACTTGGAGCGTTTCAATAAAATATAATGCTAGTAATTTCCTGCTGCTATATTTATTGCTGCTGCTGCTGCTGCTGCTGATGATGCTGATGATGATGATGATGATGATGATGATGATGATGATGATGATGATGATATATTTATGTGTCAGTGTGCAGCAGCTAGCGTGCGACAGCCAGCGTGTTGCAGATGAGCATTTGGACGGCATTTACAGGAAATTGTCGGCAATAATAGGTGAAAGAGAGTAGAGAAATTTGGTAGTAAATAGATTTCGTATTTATTTAGCATTAGATTTTATTGAAACGCTCCAAGTGCCTGTGGTTAGGCCGGTTATTGTGCTGTGAATACATGACTACCCGTGTCGCCCTCTCGCACACACACACGCGCACACCCTTAGTAAGTTCTTCCCAAACTCCACGACAGATGGCGCTCTCGCTCTGCTCTGGCTCAATTATCCTGAGTTGTACGAAGGGGGCACTGCATGCAGTTTGAGTTCTTCTATGTTAGGCAAGCCGGTGACTTTTACGTCACATGTGCGCGTACACGCACGGTTCGCTCTGCAGTTGTTGTTGTTATTCGAACGCAAAAATTCGAGTCGTGACGACATGGCGCTGCCATATCGGATGTACATAGCGCGCGGTAAAAGTGCCGATATATGCGCCACGAACGCTGGAGTCGCGCCAACTCGCGCCTAGTAGAAGCGCTGCAGCACTGCCAGCGCTGGTACCAAGGACGAGTGAAGGTTAACTCTCCCCCTTCTTTCCCTCTCTCACTTTCAGTTTCTCTCGCTCTCTTTTTTTTATCGATATATATATTTCTTTCTCTCCCTCACCCCCCCCCCCATCTTTCGCTCTCTCTATTTTTTCTAGTTCTCTCGCTCTCTCGCTCTCTCTCTCTTTATTTTTTCTATGTCTCTCTCGCGCTCTCTCTCTCTCTCTCTTCCTCTCCCACCCTCACTTCTTTTTTTTATCTCCATCAGTTGCGCGTGTACTCGGCGACGCCCCGTTGCGTTATCTCTCTTACACTGCGAGTACTACATCGACCGAGTTATATTTAGTTGCTACGAGAATGGTATAGTACATGTACGTAGCAGTATGCGCGTCTTGCGTAATCGCGCTCTTCGGTATCACGCGTTCCGAAGCGGTGAGTATTCTGGCAAAGTGTCAACGTTGAGTAACGCGTCAACAGGAAACCAGTACCTCCATGTTATGCTCATTTATCGCCGGCAGGTGACGCGGTAGTTTCTTTACTCGGTCGAGGGGCGGGTCCGTAGCGCGAACTAATGACGATGTTGACCCGGGCGCCGAAACCAGTTTACGATTGTATCACAATTTACTAAAACAACTCTTTTTCGGCATTCTTACTGACTGAAAGACAATACTGTACGTGAATGTCCTAGATACGTGTCGGCATTCAGAAATACAGGCCGTGCGTGTTTGCGCGTGCTTCTGCGTACGTGTACTTGAACCTGAAGCGATGGACAACGACACAGTTATTTTGAGTGACTCGTGAGTCGATGTTTGTTGCGTTGTCCGTGTGCACGACTACGTTTATTCGATGCAACTTACACCGGGTCTCGCGGCTGGATATAAGGTAGTCTGGATTACATCATGGATATCAAACGCACAAGCAGCCGCTTGCTGCATTGTCCTGGGATGACGGCTGTCGTTCCAGGTTCAGTTTCTGTTCGTACAACCGTTTCAGTTCACTCTGGCGCTGCCGCGTGAGGCAATGGTGACGCCATATTAGACACCGACTATACCGTCACCGACCCTGGCAATATAACCTGAATGATGAGATAAAATATGATCACCCCCCCCCCACCTCCTACCCACCCGCTAATAAACCATCGCGCACTGCACACACGCCACGTTCACTTCCTGTTTTGAGTCGTCGAACTAGAAACGAACTACGCACACACGCGGATACGAGTTTATATAAGGCCCGCATTTTGGGGGTCGATCCCCTATGGCACATAGCTACACGAAGGCGGAACTGCGGCGAGCGACGTGCACGACCCCGTCGCAAACTCTCGCCACGCACCGGTTTCTCGCATTAACGCGCTGAGAAACTGCAGCGAGATGTGCTGGCAGGGTGAATGCGCTCTGCGTTGCTAAAACGTCGGTCATGCCACACAGCGTGTACGCTGTAGCTTTTCACCGGCTTTCTCTCGTCTGCTCGGCGGCTTATAAACGCCTCCGCAATCTTCATAATGGCACCGAGCACTCCACGCATCGTGGATCCCGGATCTTTCCGGCCTCCTCCCTCCGCCCCCGCTCGCGCGCTCCATCCCTCTCTCCCCCGCCGCTTCCTCTCTGAACACTCATCGTCACCCTTTGCGCGCGACGTACAAAGAGCCTTCGGCTGTTCCCCTGCCTCTCTCAATTTTCTTCGCGCCTAATTTGGCCAGCCAGTCAGCCAGCCAGC